GTGACACACGCCTGTAATCCCAGCTACTTGGGAGGCTGAGGCAGGAGAATTGCTTGAACCCGGGAGGTGGAGGTTGCAGTGAGCTGAGATTGTGCCATTGCACTCCAGCCTGGGCAACAAAAGTGAAACTCTGTCTTAAAAAAAAAAAAGTGTTCTTAGGAAAAATAAACAGAAGGAAAATATTGTAGTCTTATCAATGGTTGTATTAGGAGGTGAGATTTAAAATGCTTCTTTTCTTCATGAAATATGCCTTATTCTACTAATGTTAAAATTTTGGTATTAAATTTTAACTTGTATGTAAATTATTTTAAATGCAAGTCTTACCTTAATTGAATCAACTCTAGCAACATCTAATGAGGACAGGTTTTCTTCAAGCTATTTAGTTGTGATCTGTGATTTTAATAATAAAGGCAGTTGCCAGGCATGATGGCTCACGCCTGTAATCCCAGCACTTTGGGAGGCCGAGACAGGTGGATCACTTGAGGCCAGGAGATCGAGACCAGCCTGGCCAACATGGTGAAACTCTGTCTCTACTAAAAATACAAAAATTAGCTGGGTGTGTTGGTGCCTGCCTGTAATTCCAACTACTCAGGAGGCTGAGACACAAGAATTGCTTGAACCCAGGAGGTGGAGGTTGCAGTGAGCTGAGATCGTGCCACTGCATGCCAGCCTGGGCGACAAAGCAAGACCCTGTGAATAATAATAATAATAATAAAGGCAATTGTTCTAGTGAGTTTAATGTATCACTACAGATGCTGAACTTATATGATAGGTGAAATAGAAAGGGGAAATTTAAAACAGAATTTTTTATCTCATTCTTTCTTTCTGTTCTTTTTAATAAAAGGAAGGATTACGGCCAGGAGATACAACCAGCACTTTCTGTGGTACTCCTAATTACATTGCTCCTGAAATTTTAAGAGGAGAAGATTATGGTAATAAATAAATTGGTGGTATTATTTTAGCTATTGCTAGATGGGTGGTTAAATGTGGTGCCAATTGCATTACAGTACACTAATGCATTTTGATATCATCTTATTAATATAAGCATTCTTGATCCTTTTAAAAACTACACGGAGAGCCCCAGACTTTGAAATCAGAGACAGTGGGACCTTGACAGTATTTGGGGTTACCAAGCTCAATAATGTTTTATTAGTGACAAAACTAAGCAGTAGCAGGCACTATTCTAAGCAGTTTACATATATTAACTAAGTTAATCCTCTTAACGCTGTGAGGTAAGTACTGTTAATGCTCCTTTTATAGATGAGGAAACTGACATACAGAAAGATTAAATAACTCGCCTAAGGTCAAGGATTCAGAACAGCACCCAGGTGACTCCAGAGTCATTAACCCCTGGAAGATTTTTCAGACTACCTGTGATATTTCCCCCAGGAATCTGAAAGATGGTGGAAAGATTAACTGTATCTCAGGCACCCGAAGATACACCCGAGAAAACATTTGACTTTTTGGGTTTTGGCCCTCTGCCTTCAGCAGATATAAAGGAGAATGTGGTACTTGTGAAAGCTGCTCAGAGTCTGCATCCACTGTCCTTCACTGGTCTTTATCAGCTAGCAAAAGATCAAATTTAAGACCAAGGAGATAACTCTGAAATACAACTTAATTATATCCTCAACACACAATATTAGATATTGGGCATGAGTCTGAAAGTAGACATACATGGAAAAAGAAAGGTTTTTTCCTCATAATTTTATTTTTAAAATTATCTTTTAGGTGCCTACCCTTGTAAGTGAAGCATTTTTATAATCTTCAATGCCTACCATGATAGCTGGAATGCATTTAGTTTACTTTTTCATTGTTTCTTTTTCCTTTATGTGATAAAATCTCCAGTTACTAACTTTCAAGAATGCAAAGTGTATAATTTATTGCTTTAAAATTTCTTTCTGAAGGTTTCAGTGTTGACTGGTGGGCTCTTGGAGTGCTGATGTTTGAGATGATGGCAGGAAGGTCTCCATTTGATATTGTTGGGAGCTCCGATAACCCTGACCAGAACACAGAGGATTATCTCTTCCAAGGTAATTTGGAGTATTTTACAGAGGTTCTCTGAGAAAAACCTATTCTAGAGTACAAATGCGAGTGACTCAGGTTACTACTTTGAGTAAGAAAAATGAGCATAATCTGGAAAATATACTTCTGACTCATTGTATTAGGTTTTGTTGTTGTTTTTGTTTGTTTTTGAGACAAGGTCTCACTCTTTGGCCCAGGATGGAGTGCAGTGGTGCAATCTCAGCTCACTGCAACATCCATCTCCCTGGTTCAAGCAGTTCTGCCTCAGCCTCCCGAGTGGCTGGGATTACAGGCACACACCACTATGCTCGGCTAATTTTTGTATTTTTAGTAGAGACAGGGTCTCACCATAGTGGCCAGGCTGGTCTTGAACTCCTGACTTCAAGTGATCTGCCCACCTCAGCCTCCCCAAAGTGCTGAGATTACAGGCATGAGCCACTGCGCCCGGCCTCTGTGTATTAGGTTTTGATGTTTTTTAATACATTATTTCTTCTCTATAGTCTTCACTCCTGTTCACAGTTACCTTCTCATACTCAAAATCGTAACAGGGGTTATTTAGAATTATCCATCACAGACAGATTAGAGAAAGGAATCCTGTGGCTAGAGAGGATAATCTTTACACAGGGACCCTGAGGCTGGGTGCACAAGTTCAAGAACAGTATGAGGGGAAAATAGAGCACCAAGGTGATGAGTGATCAAAAGATGGGGAAAAAGGCCCCACATCAGGGAATATAAAGAATGGACAGAAACAAGCAGACAAGTACAGGGACCTCTAGCACGGAATCCAAAGAAGTATGAAAACTGCTATAAAATTCTACATTTAGTAATTGAAGCCATCACGGGATATAAATAGGCATGTCATATAACAGAAAGCCCAAATGGCCATGGAATATGTGAAAAGACATTCATTCTCACTAGCAATTAAGGGAATGCACATTAAATGTTAATGAGTTACCATTTCATATCGGTACATTTGATTAAAATATTAAAGTTGGATAATACCAGTGCTGGTGAGGATGTGGAGCAACTGGAACTCCTCTAGACTGCTGGTAGGAATGAAAACTGATGAAACAGCTTTAAAGAATAATTTGGCAGTGTCCAATAAAATTGCATATTGTATATGCCAAGCATTTTACAAATGTTATTTAAACCTCATAACAATCCTATGAAGTATTTTTTTATTCCTATTTTACAGACCAGGAAATTGAGGTACAATCAGGTAGTCAAAGAATAAGACATTCATGTAAATGATAAATAGTATTCAGATTAGAGGCTTTCTCTGAGAAGAATGGAAAAGAAGGGGATTAGGAAAGTACAGGAGGCACTTCAGTTACATATGTAATATCTTATTTTTTCTCCTGGAATGCCTTAAATATCTTATAATAAAAATTGAAAGATTGCACCCAGGCACAGTGGCTCACGCCTGTAATCCCAACACTTTGGGAGGCCGAGTTGGGTGGATCACTTGAGGTTGGGAGTTTGAGACCAGCCTGGCCGACATGGCAAAATCCCGTCTCTACTAAAAATAAAAGAAAAATTAACTGAGTATCATGGTGGGTTCCTTTAATCGTAACTACTCAGGAGGCTCAGGCAGGGGAATCACTTGAGCCTGGGAGGCGGAGGTTGCAGTGAGCTAAGATTGTGCCACTGTACACCAGCCTGGGCGAGACAGTGACACTCTGTCTCAAAAAAAAAAGAAAAAAAAATTTAAAGATTGCCAGGTGCAGTGGCTCACACCTGTAATCCCAGCACTTTGGGGGTCCAAGGCAGGAGGATTGCTTGAGTGCAGGAGTTCAAGACCAGCCTGAGCAACATGATGAGACCCTTATCTCTACAAAAAAAAAATTAAAATTACCCAGCCATTGCTGGCTGCAATGACTCATGCCTGTAATCCCAGCACTTTGGGAGCCTGAGGTGGGTGGATCACTTACCTTCATGAGGTCAGGAGTTCAAGACCAGCCTGGCCAGCATGGTGAAACCCCATCTCTACCAAAAACACAAAACTCACTGGGCATGGTGGCACATGCCTGTAATCCCAGCTACTCAGGAGGCTGAAGTGGTAGAAGCGCTTGAACCCGGGAGGCAGAGGTTGCAGTGAGCTGAGATCGTGCCACTGTACCCAGCCTGGATGACAGAACAAGACTCTATCTTAAAAAAAAAAAAAATTAGCCAGGCGTGATGGTGGCGCCTGTGGTCCCAGCTACTTGGGAGGCTGAGGTAGAAGGATTGCTTAAGCCGAGGGGGTCAAGGCTGCAGTGAGCTGTGATTGTACTACTGCACTCCAATCTGGGCAACAGAGCAAGACCCTTTCAAAAAAAGAAGAGAAAAGATTAAAGCCATGTAAAAGTTAAATATAATACTATAATTTCTATCTTTCTAGTTATTTTGGAAAAACAAATTCGCATACCACGTTCTCTGTCTGTAAAAGCTGCAAGTGTTCTGAAGAGTTTTCTTAACAAGGTATAAACTGTGTATAAAAATATTTTGTGATTTGTCTCTTTATATATCAAACTGATCAGTAGCAGTTTGGGAAATGTAAAATTCCAAGACAGTAGAGAATGTAACTTTTTCAGTTTGACCCAGAATTTTCTCTTACCCAAAGAGTAATTGACAGCATTAGATCCTGAGATAAGTTAGTTGTCCTTTCCATTTTGGCAATAAAATTTACTCCCCAGCTATATATTACATATTTTTTTTGTGTGTAAATAATACATACCATATTCTCACATAGGGGAAGATTTAATCTTTGGGTTTAGCCATAATTGTACTTTGAACTCTGTTTCCATTTTTTCTGTGTCATTATCCATAGAATCTATTTATTACCATGTACTTTTTGAGCACATGGGCCACAGTGCTCCCTACAAATTCTCATGTCGAAAATGCTATAATTAGGTAAAATTCAGAAGAAATGAAATGCTATCTTCGGCTCTTAAAAATGTGAACATCATTCAATTGTTTGTTGCTGTTGGTAGGCTAGAGGAGTTTTAGAATCTAAGTGTGGTCTTGGCAATCATAAATTCTACCTTAAATAAATGGTATGATAGAAAGTTTGATGTACATTTACCTTCTAAGGTAAATAGATAATGAATTTTAATAAAATAAGAAATTGAAGCCTTTTTTAAAATGAACAATTTATGTGAGGAAAGATTTAAAATTGAAACCTAATTTTTCACATAGTGATGAAAAATGAAGGCAAGAGGTGTTGATATGCGAAATAAAATACCTTTTATCAGAAAGAAAAATGGTAACATATTCTCATTCATAGTAATGAATAAGCCAAGACTTTTTATAAGTTGCAGGCTTGGATTAAATTTGTAAGTTGGATTAATGTCTTACACAGGCGGTGATTTGTTGCTTTAATTGGGCATGGGGCTTTTAAATTAAGCTAAAAACAAACTTCTGATGAAGTTTGGAGGTTTGCATGTTTTGACTGTCACACTAGGTCATACCAAAGAAATGGCTGGGTGCTGCTCAAATGATTCTGCTGTTCTCTTTTTCCTCCTATTTTTCTTTAGCAAGGAATTGGTGGTGATTCTCTGTTTTAATTACATGATAGGTGGAGAAAGTGCCACAAAGAAATCTTACCTATCACAAGCTTCAGATAATTCAATTTGTTCTGGAGTTGTACTTTCTAGAAATAAAAGGTAGACCATTCCAACTTCAGAAATAAGACTATCACGTGAGGGCACAAAACACAGATCACAAAGATGATTTATTTTAAAGCATGACATTCACCCAATTCTTGAAACATTTCTTTCACCATAGGACCCTAAGGAACGATTGGGTTGTCATCCTCAAACAGGATTTGCTGATATTCAGGGACACCCGTTCTTCCGAAATGTTGATTGGGATATGGTATGTAAATTTTGATTACTTTCTCTATTAGGTTTCATTATTATCTTCTGCCAAATTTTTTTTTTTTTTTTTTTAGGACAGAGTCTTGCTCTGTCGCCCAGGCTGGCATGCAGTGGCACGATCTCGGCTCACTGCAACCTCTATCTCCCGGGTTCAAGCAGTTCTCCTGTCTCCGCCTCCCAAGTAGCTGGAATTACAGGCACGCACCACCACACCCGGCTAATTTTTGTATTTTTAGTAGAGATGGGGGGTTTCACGATGTCAGCCAGGCTGGTCTCAAACTCCTGACATCAGGTGATCCACCCACCTTGGCCTCCCAAAGTGCTGGGATTACAGGTGTGAGCCACCGCACCTGGCCTACCTTGGGCCAAATTTTATTGTCTTAGCTAACATATCACAGCTTTAAAAACTTAAAACCACTTTCTAAACTACTTTTTAGAAAACTTTTAAAACAAAAAAAATCCTTTTTTAAAAAATGTATTGTTTTTTCTGAGACGGAGTCACATTCTGTTGCCCAGGTTGGAGTGCGATGGTGTGATCTCTGCTCACTGCAACCTCCGCCTCCTGGGTTCACGCAATTCTGCCTCAGCCTCCTAAGTAGCTGGGATTACAGACACATGCCACCATGCCCAGCTAATTTTTATATTTTTAGTGGAGACAACGTTTCATCATGTTGGCCAGGCTGGTCTTGAACTCCAGACCTCAAGTGATCCACCTGCCTCAGCCTCCCAAAGTGTTGGGATTCCAGGGGTGAGCCACCGTGCCCAGCCAAAAAATTGAATATTAATGTAATAAAGCAGGTTATAATGTTATTGAAGCCCATATCAATGTTTATACTTGTTTTTGTTTGTTTGTTTGTTTGTTTTTTTAAGAGAAACAGTCTCACTCCATCGCCCAGGCTGTACTGTAGTTCACGACAGCCTTGATTGAACTCCTAGGCTCAAGAGATCCTCCTGTGTTAACCTCTCAAGTAGCTGGGACTATAGGCATAAGCCATGGTACCCAGCTAATTTTCAATTTTTTTTGTTTGTTTGTTTGTTTTGAGGTGGAGTCTTGCTGTGTCTCCCAGGCTGGAGTGTAGTGGCACAATCTCGGCTCACTGCAACCTTCGCCACCTGGGTTCAAGCAATTCTCCTGTCTCAGCCTCCAGAGTAGCTGGGATTATAGGTGCACGCCACCACGCCTGGCTAATTTCTGTATTTTTAGTAGAGACAGGGTTTTGCTATGTTGGCCAGACTGGTCTTGAATCCCTGACCTCAGGTGAGTTACGCACCTTGGCCTCCCAAAGTGATGGGATTACAGGCATGAACTGCTGTGCCCAGCCAATTTTTAATTTTTTAATAGAGATGGGGGTCTTGCTATATTGTCTGGGCTGGTCTTGAACTCCTGGCCTCAAGTGGTCCTCCCATCTCAACCTACCAAGCAGTTGGGATTATAGGCATGAGCCACCATGCCCAGCTCATATTTGTAAATTATGTTCATCATTGCTAATATCATTTTACCGTGCTTCAGGACTCACTTTAATAAGGGAAACAATGAGTGCAGAGGAGAACTGTAGAGGTGCAATTTTTCTAATAATACAGACTTGAGCTGTCATCCAATGTCTTTTCAGATGGAGCAAAAACAGGTGGTACCTCCCTTTAAACCAAATATTTCTGGGGAATTTGGTTTGGACAACTTTGATTCTCAGTTTACCAATGAACCTGTCCAGCTCACTCCAGATGACGAGTAAGTAATTCTGTACACTGAAATTTTTTTTTAAGTTTTTTGGAAATCCCATTTTTAGTGACTATGCAATGTTTCATGATCAGATTATACTATTAATTTTTTTATTTTTTATTTTATTTCATTTTATTTTATTTTTGAGACCGAGTCTCGCTCTGTCTCCCAGGCTGGAGTGCAGTGGTGCAATCTTGGTTCACTGCAACCTCTGCCTCCCAGGTTCAAGCGATTCTCCTGCCTCAGCCACCCTGAGTAGCTGGGACTACAGGCTCATGCCACGACACCCAGCTAATTTTTATATTTTTAGTAAGGACGGTGTTTGCCATGTTGGCCAGGCTGATCCTGAACTCCTGACCTCAGGTGATCCACCCACCTTGGCCTCTTAAAGTGCTGGGATTACAGGCGTGAGCCACTGCGCCTGGCCTATACTATAATTTATATAACCATTCAGTTACTGGTATTTGAATCCACTGTACTATTATAAGTTTTAATAGTAACTGTCATTTTCTCCTTTGCTTTATCGTGCATTATCTCATTTTCACAACAACTTTGTAAACTAGTTAAATTGTCATCTTCATTTTACAGATGAGGAAACTGAGGCTCAGAGAGGTTAAGCAAAGTTACACAGCTATCAGGTGGTAGAGTCAGGATTCAAACCCAAATCTCTCTGTCCTGCTGCACTGGTTCCCATTTGACAAGGACTGTCTTTGTCTGTCTAAGTTCCTGAGTATTGCCTTAAGATAGATTCCTAGAAAGGGAATTAGGTCAGAGGGTATTAACATTTTAAAGCTCTTGATATGTATTGCCAAATTGCTTTTTTTAAGGAATTACATTGAGTTATTAAATCCAGCCAGCAGTGAGCTGATATATTTTTTTGTACTTATACTGCATCTTTTAAAAATATACCTTAAAATAATTGGGGGATATTTTGATTATTTACCTGTTGTTACAGATTCATTCTCTCTAATCTCAAGGAGGCCCTTATTGTTTGGCAGTCATTTTACTTCTATTTTATTTCTTACCACATTTCTCCCAGCACCTGCTCCAAACAGTCTCTTCATTTCAGAAGCCTTCAGTTCTACTCCTTTTTCCATCACTGTTAAAGGATTAACCTTGTCTTAATTTGATGCAAGGACTGATAACCTCTCTGGCGTGACCTTGCCTCCTTTCCAGCTGTCACCAGATCACCTGGCATCTCAGAATTGCTTTCTAATTCTTTTCAACATTTTCTTATTCCCTACTCTTGGAAGGCTCTCCTTTACAAGGAGCGTCCCTCCTATTTTCCTAGACCTGTTTCTGTAGTTTTCTCCAATATTTCATTTTGTCAGTTATCTTGTTATTGGACCTTCTTAGATTTATTTTTTTCTAGCTTGCTTCCCTCTGTGTAAGCATGCTCAGATTCTCTGATTTTTCCCCCTAACTCATAGTCCCTCTTTGAACAACCACATTTTTCCTCATTTTCATTTCGTCTTGAAGCCTCAAAAAAAAAAAAAAAAAAGTCAATAGATGTTCATGGTCAAAGAAAAATAAATATGCAGCACCTCTAATCTAACTTCTTCAGACTAGTCAACGTTGATTGTCTTGAATTTTTTTTTTCTGTCAACACTTCAACCCCTTACAACTGAGCCTGTCCTCCAGCTTTTGAAAGTTGAATCAATTTCTTAATTTCTAAATTGTAAAGCATTTTGGGGTGAGTCCTCACCTCCCTTGATGAATGTAAAGCATTTGGTATTCATGGCTTTGCCTTGGGTGGCACTGCCTATTCTGGTTCTGTTTCATCTCTGTGACTACTTTTCTGTCATGTGTTTTCCCTGTCCCCTTGAGACCAGGATGCTTCATGGTTCTGTTCATGACAATCTTCTTTTTGCTGTATGCAGTTTGTACCTTGGAGATTTCAACCAGCCCTGTAGCATAGATACCAGCTAATTAAATGACTCTCAGTTAAATGGCAAATGGTTATTGAGCAAAAGGCGTTATGCTAAATACTAGACATTCAAAGATAAGACAGTCTAATCTCCCCAAAAGCATCCTGTCTACTAGAGGAGAAAGATGTGTACCAAATCATTATTTCTGAGAGCATTGTGTATTAAAAGGAACACTGAATTTAATCAAAAGATAGGAGTTTGAATCCCAATGCCACCTCTTACCAACTGGGTAACCTTGTATAAGAATTGCATAACTTCTCTGAGCCTGTTCTCGAATTGCCTACCTCATAAGGTTGCTGTGAAGAATAAATGCATGATGGTTTCTGAAGCACTTATCCCCTGCCGTTAGATCTCCTCAGCTGCATTTCTGTTTAACATGTCCCCCAGTTTGTCATCAAGCAGCTCAAATATATGAAGTCTAAAATCAAAGTAATGACCCTTTATGGTCTCTTTCTATTGTTCTCAATCAGTTCCTTTTTTTAAGTTACCTAGTTCTGCTCACTGTACCACAGTGTGTTCCTGTCGTTCAGATTCCAGATGTCAGTGATTGTGGACTACTCCTTTTTCTTAACAGATTACATAATACCTGCAGCTGCCAAGTCTTTGTCTATGTTTTCATTATTTCATCATTTACATCAGGTCCTTCTTTTCTCTTCCCATTGACACATCCTAGTTCAGGCCTCATTCAGGTCATACCCAGAGTATTGTATCAGCCTCCTAATTGATCTTTACTCCTTCACTTTGCAACCTATTCTGTATGCCTTGTGAAGTACCACTCCAATTCTTGAACCCCTTTAATCAGAAACCTTCAGTAACTCCTTCATTGCCTATTAGGTAACATCTATCGTCTTGGCTAGCATTTAAGGCCTCCCCACATCTGCTCCAGCCTGACTTTCTAGTGATACCTCTCACCATAATACAAACAGTGTTCTCATCAGTCTTTGCTAGTCACCATTCACTAATAGTGTTATTATCTCTGCCTCTGCCTGCTCATTCCTGTATATTCCCCCTTCATTTTTACCTGTTGAAATCTTCCCATCTTTCAGAGCCACCTCAGATGCAACCAGATCTTTGATGGATCAAGGTGAAACTCCTTAGAAACATCACTGGCTTCTTTGATTATTAGCCATTATTTTTCTTCCAGCATCATCTGCCATCTAACACACTTCTATTCCTGTGTTCCACCCTAATAAATTACTTGCATTTCCCCAGACCTACCACAGTCTTTCATCATTCCATTTATTAAGTGTTTGCAAAATGAATACTGCCTTCCTTGATTTCTCCAACTAGAAGTCGCGCCTTTCTTTAGAACCGTGGTTAGAACAGGACTTAGCTTATTGTGTGTAAAATTTAACAAGTACTGCTTTCTCTTCCAGTATGAGTTACCTCCCCTCCTTGAAGGAAGGGACTGTATCCTCTGTAACTTTGTGCTTCTTAGTATGGCATATACATTTATGTATTAAATATTTGATAGCACTACTCAGTGTGTATTAAAGTAGAAGCCAGTGTAACAAAATGACAACCTCTCCCCTCTCTGTGACCCAAGGTCTCCCTGTGGTGTTCTCTCCTCATTCCAGGTCTCTCAGTGTACTTGTTCCTATTGCCTTTTCCTTTTGGCTAACTACTTCTTGGCTACACCATCTAACATCTGGCTGTTGAGGTGACTACTAAATTGAATGCTAATTCAAACCTGGATGTTCACCTGTAACTAAGAATATTGTTCTGGTCCAAAGTTAAGATTAACTGGAATGGTGACAGCTGGTGCCTTCTTTATTCGGTCCTCAGTTTCGAACTCCTTTTTGGCTCAAAACTTGCTTGTGGGATTATCGAGGCTTTTTAAATTTTCAGTATTCCATTCTTGATTTGTCTAGAAAATTTTGGGGATTAATCTAAAAATTTATAGATTTTCTTTCAGTACAGTTAGCCTAATTATTTGTTTTTTAATCTTATTTTACCATTTAAAGGTTGAAGAAATCTTTATTATGATGAAAATAAATTTATTTTTCTTTCAACAGTGACATTGTGAGGAAGATTGATCAGTCTGAATTTGAAGGTTTTGAGTATATCAATCCTCTTTTGATGTCTGCAGAAGAATGTGTCTGATCCTCATTTTTCAACCATGTATTCTTCTCATGTTGCCATTTAATGCATGGATAAACTTGCTGCCAGCCTGGATACAATTAACCATTTTATATTTGCCACCTACAAGAAAACACCCAATATCTTCTCTCATAGACATATATTAATCAATTGTTACATCTATTTTACTATGAAAAAGAAATTAATACTAGCTTCCAGACAATCATGTCAAAATTTAGTTGAACTGGTTTTTCAGTTTTTAAAAGGCCTACAGATGAGTAATGAAGTTATCTTTTTTGTTTAAAAAAAAAAGAAAACCACTGCATTAAAAAAGTGTCTGTTGGCCGGGCGCGGTGGCTCAAGCCTGTAATCCCAGCACTTTGGGAGGCCGAGACGGGCGGATCACAAGGTCAGGAGATCGAGACCATCCTGGCTAACATGGTGAAACCCCGTCTCTACTAAAAATACAAAAAACTAGCCGGGCGAGGTGGCGGGCGCCTGTAGTCCCAGCTACTCGGGAGGCTGAGGCAGGAGAATGGCGTAAACCCGGGAGGCGGAGCTTGCAGTGAGCTGAGATCCGGCCACTGCACTCCAGCCTGGGCGACAGAGCGAGACAACGTCTCAAAAAAAAAAAAAAAAAAAGTGTCTGTTGCGTTAAGGCACATAGTGGGATTACATCATAAACGTCCCATAATTTTTGTCATTATGTGTTAAATCATTTCAGGGTTTAACTTTGAAATAAAAGATTAATATAAAATGCAACAACTTTTTATATTACCTATTAGTTTTGGAGTTCTTTATGTTTAAAAATTCAGGTGTAAATTTTACTGCCTTGGATAAATAAATTATCGATTTTTTAAGGCAGCAGTTATTAAATTGCTAATAGAGATGCTGCTTGCTTAGAATTGGGAAATTCAGCTGAGTGCAGTGACTGACGCCTGCAATCCCAGCACTTTGGGAGGCTAAGGCGGGCAGATCACTTGAGGTCAGGAGTTCGAGATTGGCCTGGCCAACATGGTGAAATCCCGTTTCTACTAAAAATACAAAAATTAGCTGGGCATGGTGGCGGGCACCTGTAATCCCAGGTACTCGGGAGGCTGAAGCAGTAGAATCGCTTGAACCCAGGAGATGGAGTTAGCAGTGAGCCAAGATTACTCCAGCCTGTACAACAGTGAGTGAGACTCGGTCTCAAACCAAACCAAACAAAACAAAAACCAAATTGGGAAATTCTTCTTGAGTTAAAACGCAGACACTTTTTATTATAAATCAGATTCCAAATCATTAACTATTTTTGCAAAACTGGCACAAGTGATTTTTCTTTTTAAGTATATTAACGGGGTAGCTCCCTTCTAAGCCTATCCGTTTATGGGAAACTTTAACTGGAATGTTAATCTATATGATGCAAAGGACCAAGGATGCAGTTGAATGGAAAATTACTCAGTATAAAGAAAGGAAAAAAAACAGAAATTTAAAATAGATACAGAAAAGTACAGTGGTAATATTTTTATTTCCTATTGGAGAGTGAATCCCCACAGTTGCTTTTTGTGACTTGATTCAAATGAGGCACTCAATATTGTTACCAAACTTGTAAAAGCATTCCATGTATTCAGTGGAGGCAGAATGTATAATATTTTTTCCTTATAATTTAGTATACAGGAAAATTATTTATTTTTTTAAGTAGGATATCTTAATTATCCTCATTTCTTCCCCTAAACCACATTTATGATTGGACCCTATTTATAGAGTCTTTAGTGAAATCAGAAAAATAAAGTAGGCATGAATGTTCAGGACACACATATACACTCACACACATCACAGTATCAGCTCTTTCAGTGAGTTTTTATTAACTGATAACACATGTAACACATAGTAGAATACATTTCAGAGACAGAGTTCCTTGGATTATTTTTTATTAATATTAGTGTTTAGCAGTTTATTATTTAAAGGGGTGCCAAATATAGCATCCTTCTGTTTATTTTAAATTTTTTTTAATGAAAAGGGACTTAAAAAGTAACCATGATTATCTAAATTACTTAAAATTTTTTAATCTTAGTAAGACTTAACTTTAGGAAATTAGTTTAAATTTCAAATGTTTTAAAATTTGTAGGCATATAATAAATTATCTTTTTTTGGAGGGGTGGATGCTGCATTTCACTGGAAATGTCATTTTTCCAAAGTTTCTAGCTATGTACTCTCTTTCCTTCAAATAATGTAAGTCTGAAAGCAATGAAAACCTCAAAGGAAAATGTTTATATACATCCGCATGTTTATTTAATATGTTTCTCTTAACACCTGAAACTTCTTTTAAAACAAAAAGCAGTATTCACTTCAAATCATAAACTTAGAATTCTGTATCTGATGTCAGAAATATGTTTATGACCTTGCTTTTCAGTGGTGCTGTTTCCCATAGGGCATTAGTTCTCAGATTTTGGAATGTGAAATAATCACCTAGGAAGTTTGTTTAAAATGCACACTAGTGGGCCACCTTAGACTTCTTTTGGGGCCTTCGACACCTTCTTCAGGTTATTCTTTATGTTTGTCCTGTGGTTAAATACTAGAGTATTCATGATAAAACATTTTGAGAAGGGGTAAGCCGTGAGTTATTATCCACAATTGAAAGCAAATTTTGAATGAATCTTTAAGTTAGGTATCTACCTTTCCCCCAACCCCCTAAAGAAACCTCTCAGTAGTTTCTATCAATAATGTACAAAATTATGAGCATTTTTCTATGATGAGGTTTTAACGATTATTCAGGGTGGTCTTTTGTTTTTAAATCTTTTTTTAACTAATAATATTTATGGTGTATATTTTATACAGAAATGCATTGTAATGTTTTTAATTGTGTTGTTTTTTGCAGTCTTTTAAGTGCCATGCCAATTGTTTTTATATTCTATAAAAGTTCGCTGAAAATACTCAACAGGGGAATAGGCAGCGGACAGTCAGAATGGTTGGAATTTTGGCGTTCTAAGAAAAACTTTATTTTGCATAAGCATTTGGTCAGATCATTTTGTGCATATGCAGCCTGGATTGGATGTTAAGTAAATGCTTGTTCAGTGCCGGTACATTTACTTAAATCTGTTTTTATTTTTGTCATGTAGAATACTACTGTGGTCATCATAATGTAATCTGTATTTCTGTACCTTTTTTTTTTTTTTTTTTTTTGAGACGGAGTCTTTGCTCTGTCACCCAGGCTGGAGTACAGTGGCGCAATCTAGGCTCACTACAAGCTCCGCCTCCTGGGTTCACGCCATTCTCCTGCCTCAGCCTCCCGAGTAGCTGGGACTACAGGTGCCCGCTACCACGCCTGGCTAATTTTTTTGTATTTTTAGTAGAGACGGGGTTTCACTGTGTTAGCCAGGATGGTCTTGATCTCCTGACCTGTGATCCACCTGCCTCGGACTCCCAAAGTGCTGGGATTACAGGCGTGAGCCACCGCGCCCGGCCATATGTCAGAAATTTATATAAGAACAAAGATACATCAAAATTTGTTCAAGAAAAAATGAAAATTTTAGAGTTTTGAATTTTGCTTTACTTAAAGCAGCATTCTGGTAGAACTGATGCTGTAGTATTTACATTTAATAATGTTACATTTAGCTGGACATAGTGGCTCACAACTGTAATCCCAGCACTTTGGGAGACTGAGGTGGGAGGATCACTTGACCCTAGGAGTTTGAGTTCAGCCTGGGCAATATAGTGAGACCCCATCTCTACAAACAGAAAAATAAGAAATTAGCCAGGCATGCTGGCAAAGTGCCTATAGTCCCAGCTACTTGGGAGACTGAGGTAGGAAGATTGCTTGAGCCCAGGAGGTTGTGGCTGCAGTGAACTATGATCATGCCACTGCACTCCAGCCTGGGTAACAAAGTGAGACCCTGTCTCAAAAAAATTTGTAATGTTATATTTATTAATGTAGAGATTATTAAAAATTAGTAATTAAAATATTCTGCACTGTTTTATTTATTTTAGCAACGGTCTCACTCAGTCACCCAGGCTAGAGTGCAGTGGCATGGTCATAGCTCACTATAACCTTGAACTCAGGCTCATGGGATCTTCAGCTTGGAGTAGCTGGGACTATAGGCATACACCATGACACATGGCTATTTTTTTTTTTTTTTTTTTTTTACAGGGGGTAGAGATGAGGTCTGGCTATGTTGCCAAGGCTGGTCTCAAACTCCTGGGCTCAAATGATCCTCCCAATTTGGCCTCCCAAAGCGCTTAGATTGTAGACATGACCACCACACCCAGCCCTCTCCAATATACAGTTTTAACTCATCTTTCCATTCATCTCTAATTGAAAAACAAACTCGTTAAGACATCGGCTGAACATAGAACATTTTAACTGGTTTTAAAACTGAAGCAAGCCTGGGTGCAGTGTCTGACGCCTGTAATCCCTGCACTTTGGGAAGCTGAGGTGGGTGGATCACCTGACGTCAGGAGTTCGAGACCAGCCTGGTCAACATGATGAAACCCGGTCTTTACTAAAAATACAAAAAATTAGCTGGGCATGGTGGTGGGCGCCTATAGTTCCAGCTACTCAGGAGGCTGAGGCAGGAGAAGCTTGAACCTGGGAGGCAAAAGATTACAGTGAGCCGAGATCGCACCACTGCACTCCAGCCTGGGCAACGAGAGTGAAACTCCGTCTCAAAAAATAAATAAACGGGCGCGGTGGCTCACGCCTGTAATCCCAACACTTTGGGAGGCCCAGGCGGGCGGATCACGAAGTCAGGAGATGAAGACCATCCTGGCTAAGAGTGAAACCCTGTCTCTACTAAAAATACAAAAAAACTAGCCAGGCATGGTGGCGTGCGCCTGTTGTCCCAGCTGCTAGGGAGACTGTGGCGGGAGAATGGCGTCAACCTGGGAGGCGGAGCTTGCAGTGAGCCGAAATCACGCCACTGCACTCCATCCTGGGTGACAGAGCAATACTCCGTGTCAAACAAATAAAACCGTAGCAAATTCAAACAGATTATCTCATTATGCTTTACAGTGATCTAAAATCTAATATTTCTTCTTTTTCTATTGTAACTAGTGTCCATATTGTAGCTAGTGTCTATATAAACAAATCCCAGTGCCTTTACTTTCTTTTTTCTTTTCTTTTTCTTGGTAGAGGCAGGATATCGTTGTGTTGTCCAAGCTGCCCTTGAACTCCTCCATCTTTCTGCCTCAGCCTCTCAAAGCACTGGGATTACAGGCGTGAGCCACCATGCCCCATCTCTTTTTTTGTCTTGATTACAGTCATGAGCCACCACACCCAGCCTTTCCAGATAGGATAATTATTTTATCCTAATTTCAGCTCTTGCT